TCATTATTTTACAGTTTTTCATTGTGGAATTAATTTCACAGATGTAATTGTGGAATGATTATATTATGTAGTAGTTAGTGGATATAAGTATTACATCAAGAAAACTTTTACTAAAGTCCTATTATAATTTAATGAATGTCCCATTTCACTTCACTGCTGGAAACTGAGGACAAACTAGCAAATCCATCTCACACCTACACTTCTTCGAAAGTTCCCTTGATTTTATGTGACGAAACAAGTTTTAACCACATTATAATGATAACCACATTATAATGACAGAGCAAGTTATTATATATTTTTCTATATCGCTCAAACTATACAGTCATTCCGGTAAAATTGATTTATAAAAAAAGTGGTCATACAAATTGAAATGAGTTTGCTTATTGAAGAGACAGAAATGATAAGTCATTTTGCAGACATGACGACACTACTATGACCTAGAAATACTAACTAAAATATAAGCGTAACTTTTGAACACATTTCATCAGATTAAGTAGTTGTTAATAAACTACCTTTTAAAAGTTTCAAATAATTATGAACTTAGTTTAAATGATATTATCATCAATAGTTGCACTTTTCGACTTCAAGAAATTACTTACTTCTAATTTTCAATCCATGAATCATAAAGCCATATTTTAAAAACGGCGAATCCTTGTGCAATATTCTCAAACATCATGTTAATTAACTAAGATTTTTTACATTTAATTTTTGATTTACAGTTTTTTGAAAGAAAAAAATAAAGGAATGGTTCAAACTCATGTATGCACAGATTCTTCGTTGAACTTCTATAGTATAATTTCTAATTTCCACTTACTGATTTTGCAAAAAATTTTAGACGCATGCTTTACCTTTATTTATTTTTCAATCAACTGAAATTTATTCTTTTTCTTCAGAATCTTCCTTCTTTTTATTTAAATTCGTTTAGATAGCGGTGATGCTAGAGTTCTTCAAAAAGTGACGCTTAAAATAAAATGAAAATAGGAACAAATGTTTAAAATTTTTCTAAAATTTAACATTTGTAACAACAATTCATGATAGAAATTTAATTTCTCGGAACAGTTATCATTTTTGATTTCTAAGCAACAATCAAATGATTTATTGTTTTTAAGCTTTATTTAGCCGCTCAAAAATTATTCCCATCAATCAGATGACAAGTGCAGATATGCTATTGTTTGTGATTGTTCAAATATTTGCTTTGTAGTGATGGATGTACCTGAACAATAAAGTTAAGAGGATATGAATCCATCTTATTGCACAATTGAACAATGTATCACTTTCACAGAGTAATGTAATGCAGACGCAGCAAGTGGTTCCATTCGTAATGTGTGTGAAAATACCATAGGGGGTAGGACTTTCAAAAGGGGTCATCACCTTATCATTATGAATTAATATTATTGTGATAGATGTTACTGTTATAGTAATATGATTTACTATTACAATAAGTGTATTGCAATTATTGGATACACTTGTTTTCATGGCATTGTTAATTTATCTTTTTTTTTTTTATATCTTTTATTACCAATACAGTTATACTAAAAGTTATAAGTATAATTGCAAATCACTTTATCATTTGCACGAGATAATGGATATTTTGTAATGTTTCAATGCTATATGGATATTGCTATTATGACTAATTATTACATCAATGTTATTTTGTGTCACAAAAGTCTTTTTTCAGATGACTCTTTTCAAAGTGTTATATTTTAGATATGCTTTTTTTTTACTGATCAAAAATATTTACAAAAATATTTGCGAAAATTATTGCATTAAGAATTTATTGTCAAAGTTTAGAATCACTGGAGCTTTAAATGATATTTAAATAAATCAAATAATTTGGGGCATATTTTATTTGCATGGCAAAATCATTTTCCTTTGCTTGGGAACTTCGGTTGTAACAGTTTTGATGCGAAAATTACTTTCAGCTCTTAATTGAAGTTCTCAGTAATTAAGCTAGGAATGCTGAAAATAAGAGGTGTAATCAAAGATTTGTTTGGGAACTTTTAAGTAAACAAAGATGATTTATAGTCATGCATTCATTTATGGCCTTGATGAATTCTTTTAATTCAAGTATCAGTTCATTAAATGTCACTTCAATTCAGATTATGTAATTCTAGCAGTGTATTTTAAATTTCAACCCAAATCCTTAGAATTTTGATTGAAAATGTCTAACTAAAAAAAAAAATTATTTTCCGAATTAGAAGAAAGCATTGGTAACATTCAAGAAAAAAAAATATTAGGTGGCGATATTTTGTATTGGTGCTGTAAGATGCTTGCCTGCTTACACATAACGATCGGTGACCGGTTGCTTGCTTGGTAGTATTTCTCCTTTAGGAAGATTTTTATTCATTCATTCACTTTCTTGGACACAGAATATCATTGGTGATTTATGTTCAATTGATATGTAAAATATTAGTGGTGGAACGGCGCGATCGGCTTCCGAACTGTTCAATAAATATTGCTTGGAACGACCACCAAAGCAATACACTTTTTTTTTTTGATATGGAAACAATATCTATTAGTATTTATTGATCATTTATTGTCACTTGATAATATAATAATCGTTCAGCTACTGTTACTCAACACAAAATATATCTTTATCGCTTTCATTCCTATCAAAAAAAAAAAGGATTTATCTAATTATATTTTCTAGATCTACAACTATTCGACATATACTGTTTATTAGTGGAGTTTTTAAAAGCATTTTTCTGAAGTTGCTACGATTTCAACTGAAACTAAAAAACTTTTCATTTATTTTACTAATAAATATATTCTAATTCATATTGACTATTAATTGCCATTGCTTATTAATGGTTTTTTCCCTTCATCAACTAAACTTTGAATTTTTCCTACAAATCATCTTATGACACTATTTTCAACTTTCACGAAAAATTTTATAGCTTCTGCATTTTTCAGTAAAATCTGTAAATATTATGAAATGTTATAAATAACAAAATCAGGTATTCATATTCAAAATATTCGAATGTTTTTGCTATCAAACATTATCAACTATTCTTTGCAAGCTAAAAATTTCATAGCAATCTTCTTCAATGCCATATCTTTTATAATACACAAAAATTACTACTGAAAGAAATCTGTTAAGTTATAATGATTACTGGACGGATTCGGTGAAATGGTTGGTTGGTTAAAACTTCTGTTCTAAGTTTTTTTTCTGAATTTCTAATAACTGAAAGAAATTAGCAGTTCATCCTAGAAATGCACCTAATTAACCTGCCTACCGTAACCAACTGCTTCATCCGTGAGAACAGATGCATTTGTGGCCTGGTTGATGACATGTACCGACTGATCAATGTCATCTAACATGAGGTTATCGCTGATTGCATCTTTCTTCCACCGTACTGCTCCACTCATTCCTCACGCTACTGCCCGAAACTTGTTTCCCTTTTGTTCCTGTAATTTCCCGCAAATATTTTTCCAGAAATTTATCCCAAAATAACAATAACAATGTTGGTACTGACGGGTACAGCAACAGGATAGGTTGTACCTTTTATCCGTGTGCTCGAGGTACTATCAACACGATAACCATCGCCAACTGCCAACAACCAATCAGCTCATCGTCCAATCAACAACGAGCCATTCCACCCATTTTCGCATCTATCTCTGCCTACATACTACCTCAACGATTTCTCTGTTCGTTAACTTGCATTGAAATCCAAAATGTTTGCGAGGACTTTATGGTGCTTAGAACGAAATTTCAAGGAAGTAATCGTTTGCTAGGAGTATTTTCTTAAAATATTAATGCCAGAAAAATGAAGGTAAGTATATCTAGAAAAATAGTCCAAAAGATTTGGAAAGGAAGGATTAGAACTGCATATATCTCATTTTCCTTTCTATCTTTTCCTTATCTTCTTTCGTGCCACTACCTGAACTCCACCCCCTTCTCACTGTATCCCAATAACGGCTGGAAAAGGACGAGATGACTAGCTCTCTCTTCAGGTCGCTCCTCCCACTCTCCCATACCCATCCAATCTTATCCCACCTCCTTTCGTCATGTTCGGATGCCGCTGCTTTGCCCACTTGCTTGCTATACTACTTCTTTCTTTTATTCATTCATCGTAATCGGTCTTCACGCCCGGCGCACACATACATACAACCCATACTTCCTTCTCCACTGCAACTTACCACTTCTTGTAAAATTCTTTCGGAGTCATCTCTCTATCTATTCAGTCCTATTCCATTCATTTCTATTCCATTCAATTCAATCCAATTCAATTCAATTCAATTCAGTTCCACTAACATTTTATCCAGTTCAATTTATTACCAACATCTCTTTATTACTAAAATTACTAACATCGTAATTAGTGGTAGAAAGAGTATTCCAATGAAGAAAGGTCAAGATCAGGAAGAGGACAGATACAGATATGAATGAATGAATGCATTATATTGCCATCCAGTAATAACAAAAGCCCAACCCAGGGACATCAAATAGTACCTTATTCATCCTCTTTTCATAACTATGTTCTGTGCAGTCGAGTGATTGCAATTGAAGCTAAGGAGCTGTAAAAAGAGGGGAATGTCACCTGTTGCCTTTGTTGAAGCTAGTTAGTCCGGTTGAAAAACCAAAACTTTGTATTATCAAGGAAGCGCTACGTCACTCTCATCTTCCTTTTTTATGCGTCCTGCAAAGAGTAGTAAAACGTCAAGTTTTCCCGCTCCATCTCCTCCCTCCCTCCAAATTTCACTCAGTAGGACACTACATTACATTATTACTTAATGTCAGTACTGTTACCTACTACTATCACATTCCATACAGTTGTTGTCATCATTCATTCCCTACCTATCATCATTATTACTGTTATCATTATCATAATTATCATTCATCATATCATCATACTGTTTTGAAAGCTATTTTCATTCATCTCTTGTTTATTTACACTATTAATTGATCTTTATTGATTCTCTCATTGCATTTTTTGTTACATTATTATCCTCATTCTCATTCATTCCATTCACCGCCCACTCTCACTTTCCAGGGTTTCCAAATGATGATGATGATGATGGAAAATGAGCTCAAAGCCGCACCTGGAACGGTGACAGCAGTAACGACAGCGGCAACCAGTGCTTCTGCAGCTGCAGCCCTTCAAGATGCATTCTCACTCTACAGTGCCATGCCGCCGGGTTTTTCTATGCCACCAACATCAACGTCATCTATTCCGACCGTTGAAGAATGCTGTGTTCCTAACTCACCTGGATCACCTTGTCTAAAGGAAAAAAAAGGTAAGATAATTGTAAAATTTTATGTTTTCTTTGTTTTTGTTAAAACATTAAGATGAAAGATGCCTTGCAGGAAGAACAATGTATTTTTGCTAAAGAAATAATTTAGAGAATGGAAGAAGCATTGTTTTCTAGAATGTATCGAAGCGAGAAATAAAATTTGATTATTAATTTTCTTTTTCATTTTTTCACATAAAAATTTTAATAATCTAAGCTAATGCATCAAAGTTTACTTCTTTAAAGGAATTTATTTTCGAGACATTTGTTATCTTATTGGTGTTTTATTCATAAGCTTATGTTCAGAGTTTATGGATCATAGAATCGAAGGACTTTTGCACTTTTCGAATTCCTTTCATCCCTAATTACAGTTTTAGAATACACATAGGTTTTATTTCTGGTTTGGTTGCATAGTATTTCTTATAATTTTTGGAAATTCTGGAATTTTAGGTGATGATCGAGTGAAACGTCCCATGAATGCATTTATGGTTTGGTCTCGCGGACAACGTCGTAAAATGGCACAAGAGAATCCAAAAATGCACAACTCAGAAATTTCTAAACGTTTGGGACAGGAATGGAAATTACTGAATGAATCAGAAAAACGGCCATTTATCGATGAAGCCAAACGTCTTCGAGCAATTCATATGAAAGAGCATCCAGATTACAAATATCGTCCAAGGAGAAAAACGAAAAATTTACCAAAAAAGAATGGTCTAGCAATGTCAGCCAGTACATTCCTGGATCCAATCAAAACTCAAAATATTTACCAGCCAATGACAACCGGCTGGCAACAGCCGATCAATTCCGTTTCCAGCTCACCATATTTCGATTCCTATTCTTTATATGGCCGTACAGGTTACGAGAATATGATCGGAATGCCATATTCGTTAAGCAGTACAACATCACCAGCTTCACATTACTCGCAGTCACCTAGTTGTTCACTAGCTGCTGCAGCTGCACAGTATCAGCAAGCTGCAGCTGCTCAACAACAGCAACATTACAGCAGTGCTGCAGGTGTCTCGTTAGCAGTGAAACCTGAAACATCATCTGATGGTGCCACTAACACGGGAACAAGTAACGGTGAATCACCAGATTCTGGGGTAGCAGCTGCAACAACTGAATCTCCCCTAACTTCACAATTTCGTGCCTTCTACGAACCTCACAAAGAATCTTCTTCAGCGTCTGCTTCAGCCGCAGCAGCAGCAGCGGCAACCATGAACATGTACATGCCACAGGACCCTCGGTTACAGTATGTCGCGCTTAATGGTACCATGGAAGAACATATGACATTGCCACTGCAACATATGCAATCCATGTGACATCTGCAGCAGTATTTGTTGCTATGTTCATTATCGTTGTTTCGTCATACACTATCACACCATATTATCATTATCATAATTATCACTATTTTGTCGATATTTCAACTTGTGATCTTTTAACGTACGCAATCGGAATAACCGATTTTTTCACTCAGGTACGAAAAATTTTCACTTAGTTAAAACTTTTGTAAGCTTGAAAAAATCTGTCGTAATATTCTCAGTCCCTATCTATATGTTTTGCATGCAAATTTTAAACTTGTTTGCTTTACTTTTTTAAATACCTAAATTACATATTTTTGATATATGAGTTGTACATAACAGTAATACGTACACTGTTTGTTTATCTTTTTTATGCCATCTCAGTTTTTAGACTTGTTATGGTCCATTAATTAAGTCTAGATCTAACTGAAGTGTAAAGTATTAGAATACTGATTTAGAAAAAAAATATATATAAGTGCAAGAATTAATGATTGAAAATCTAAATAACTATTGATAAATTAAATAAATTAAATTCATGATTTTTCTAAACGATTTACCTCGGTAAAATAAATTTAGAATAAATGTTTACTAATTTTTGTAGGTTAAAATTATCACTTTATTTGTAATTTTATGTTATTAAAATATGCAAAAAAAGTATCAATATTAGGAATCATATCAAAGTAGGCGAAATAACTATTTTAAAATGTAAGTATTCCTCAATTTTCCATTTGTAAGTATAGAACTGTAAGAATATATTCGATTTCAGGTTTCGAAACAAAAATTAACAGACAATGGGGTTAGCTACTGGAAATTGTTAGAAGAATGCATTCAGTTACATTGCAATTTATCAAATCTCTCTTCTTAAAATTAAGTTCTTTACTCATTATCTTATTGATATTTTCATTATTAAATATATTGCTGCTATTACTTATCTTATTCATAAAATTCGATCTGAAAAAAAAAAAAAAATTTCCTGTTCGTACATTAGCTTGTTATAAATTACATCCTTACGTTTTCATTTATTTTAACTTTTATAAGAAATAAGAAAAGCATTCATAAATTTCGACCAATTTAGGTTATGAAAGAATAACTTAAATAGGATTAATAGAACTTAATTAAGCCCGTTATCTCTCAGTGCTGGTATTACCTCAATGAGATTCATGACGCTAGCTGTCGTTTAACATATTTGTTGAACATGATATCAGTAGTTTGAATAACTTTTGTTGAAGAATTTCAATACCTTTAAAGTTGACATAAATGAATCTTTAAATTGAATGATAATAATTTTGACTTTTTTAAAAATATATTTAATATCCAATGCGAAACATCAAAACTGTTAGATCATTCTAGGAGGTAATTTTCATATGTTGATGAAATGTCTTCTGTTACTTTATAGCTTTGTGATTTTTTTCTTTCAAAATATTCGTTTTGTTGCTTTTGTAGATATATCTCCTTCCTGTTAGTGTTCAAATTTTCAATAAAATTTAAAATTCACAGACAGGCTGAAATTACCAACAGATGATTGAGCTTAATAACTCTATGAGTTTATTATGATGGAATATCTCACGTTACAGTTTTCTGTCATTACAGTTATACTCAAATAGTGATCGATGATAGTAAAGATTATTATCATTGATTGGGTATTACTTATCATTCTCGAAAAACTTCTGTATTTTTCATCTAATACCTGTATTAACATAATGGCTAGTTAAAGAATACGCGGTTGTACCTGGACAGATGCAACTATGATGGCGGAGAGCTTCCTTTTTATACTTCTATGGCAGGGCAATCAGCAATAAACCATTAAAAATTCGAATTCAAATAGATTTTAAGATTTTGAAAGTTTATCTTTGGTGATAGCTTTATCATGTATATAGCGGAAATATTTTAAGCAAATTCAGATATTAACTAAATATTGTGAAAGATGTATAAATGATAATAAACTAATGAACACTAGATTTTTTTTAATTTTTTTTAATTTGAAGATACTATTTGAAAATATCTGCAATATTTAGCTCTATCCCTTTTTTAAATTAAAACTCTTCCTTTTTTTTGGTTTTTTATGTTAATGTTTATTTTATTTCGCACATATTTGAAAAAACATAATTTTCATTTTTTTAAAACAGTACCGAAAAGTTTGATTCCTAAACTTTGTACGAGTAATAGTTTAATGTGAAATTTCAAAATTAACTATTTAATGGAAGTTCATATAACGGTGCTAGCGATTCTAATTTTGTTTTGAATATCCTTTTGTATCATTTTTTGGCATTCGTTTAGTCATTTTTACAAAATGTTTTTATATTCGTTTTTCATTCACTATAAGATGAAAACTGTTCGTGAAATTTAGTTTAAAAAAAAAAGAAATAATCGCTGCTATCGTGTAACTTCCAGTAATATCTAATTTATAATCATTAAAGGGGCAAAATTATTTTGTCATATTTTATGGAGCAGCTCAGATAGCCCTGTTGTTGCCACTATTGACATATTGTAACAGATTATGTCTTTTGATTAAATATATTCTGCTTATGTTTTGATGTGTATTTCTTAAAATAGACTTTTTACTATATAATATGGCACTTCTTTTTTTTTATTTTCGAAATGAATTTCAATAAAATTCTGTTACGGTAAAATGAATTTTCGTTCATGCATTCAATATCGTCGTGCTTCATGCAATAATGCCCCTTTATAGTCACACAGTTATAAATTAAATACTAAACAAAAGTTAATTACGGTTTAAATTTTTTCTAAATAATTTTATATGCGCTTACAAATGAATCAACTAAAGTCATTGTATTATAAAATCGCTGTTGTAACAAATGCATATAATTCAAACGTATCATTCATAGCTAAATTAAATTATGACAAATATTGCTATTGTTTCATAAACTATTATTATTATTAATTGCTATATTATTATTACAATAATGTTTTTTATGATAAATCAAAATGTCTACGATTAAATTAGCCAAACTTCCCTTATCTATCTCATAAATTTTAATACTGAGAACAAACGGGTTTTTCTTATTCGTTCATCAAATTTTTTAATTAATTAAATCAATTTATATTTAATTAAATCAATTTAAGAATGTTACATGCTGTATAAAAGCAATTTCTCCCTCTTGAAACAGCTTATTTTTCGTAAAAGTATTTATGAGACATTAAATATATCTCTTTCATTAATTTATGATAGAAAGAAGATGAAACATCAATGAAGTTCATGACGTTTCATGATTTTTCCTTTTTTTTGACAAAATTTCATTTTCCATATAGAATTATAATTTACTTACGATGTGATAGTATTTTGAAATTTAGGATTGTATCAATGGCATATTTAGGTTAGTTTTTTTTTTTTTTTTTTTAAAAAAAAGAAGAATTCTATTAACTCTAGCAATGTAAATCAAATGATTAAAGGAATGGTAACGTACCACTTCCCAAATATAAACTTTTTATTTATTTTTTATTTTTTTTTTAAAATCTAAATTCGTCACTCGTGCAAATGTTTACCAAATGATTGATGCTACTGCTTTAAATCATATAAAACTTTAGACTGCTCTTTTGGATGAAATTATTGACATTTTCCACTATTCATATAATTTGTTTTAAAGCAATGAGTAGAAAGTTATATTAAATTTTTATTTTATACTTTTATAAAAAAAATTCATTAATATAATGAAAAAATGTTTTTTTTTCTAGTTTCAAACTATAAACACCTGAAAATTTTTATTTTAATTAAGTTCTGAGTAATGTTGAAACTTTGCATTATATCTGCTTGTATTAAATAAAACTTTATTGACATGAAATTATGATAAATTTTTAAATCCGTTCAACTTCAACATATTCAGATCTCTGAAAGCTCTCTGGATGCTTTTTCTTGATGTTAATTTGATACACCATTCAAATTTTTAAAAATAAAAATTTTCAAAATTTATTTGAAAAAAAAAACTTCAAAATTTATACTAACAATTCAACTTTTTGAAAATCTTTTTTTTTTCAAACATTTTATTAATTTTTCCAGAAGAACTTAAATTTCCCTCAACAAATGACAATTATCAGCAATTCGTTCTTTTGATCTGCTTGCTATTTAAGGATGAAAGGTAAAGAAGGTCGAGAGAGTAGCGTTAATTGAAATGTAAATATTCAGATGTCCGAAAAAAAAAGACCAAATAAAAGTCAGCGGGAAGCACAACCGAGAGGATGTCTAACTTCTAATGCAATCAACACCCTTCTCTTGCTTTTTTTTTTCGTTGGAATTTGACATTTTGATTTTTTTTTTTTTTTTTTTTTGTAAAAAGAAAAAGTTTTGAAAATTAAAAGGAAAAAAAATCAAGGGATATTAAACCATCATTATTTTATGGTATTGAATAAAAAGTAAGTTTTTTATTGACTTCGACAAAGTTTTCGATTAATTCATTTAGCATTAAATGCTTTATATTTATATATTTGAGATTGTTCTAAAAGGCTAACTGATGAGAAAAAGAAACAATTTTATAAGTTTTTGATTTGTTCATACTTTAGTTTCACTTATAAATCTATCATTTAATGACACAGAAGTCATTTCAGTTTGATAAAGAATTCCATATTTTGATATTCTATTGAGAAATATTTGAGTCAGATTAAAACTGTCAAATTAAAGTTTGTCAAATTTGGATTTAATATCTGAATTTAAAATGAGAAACATAAATAATGTTCAAGTGTACAGTTCATTTAAATTCCAAATTTTTACATAAAACTTATTTTCAGTCTAAAAATACTAAATAAATTTGTAATAGAGAAGTAACTAATATAACGATCAATCTGAAAAAGGAGAATATGACGTGCAGATGATCATTGCAAGGTGAGTGCGACATTTTCTCAAAAAATAGGCTATGGATGGCATTTTCAATGCCCTGGCACTACCTTTGCTTGTTTCTATAAGGAAGTAACGAACGTGTAATCTTCCATGGAGAAAAGGTTAAATTTTTCAGTCTATTGTTTTTTTTTTTCCTTTTTTCAAAAAAACTGACTTCATTTAAAACTTATTTGTAAGCATAGACTGCTTCATTCATAAATCCATGCACTCTTTGTTCTTGGCAATGAATTCTTTTTATGAAATATTTTAATTGATTGATTATGAAAGCTTGACATCAGAAATAAGTAGGCTTCGTCCTGGATTTTAAAATTTTTTGCATAAATTTAAAAAAGTTATAAATTTAGAAAAGTTATTGGATCAGTTGCCTTTGAAACGCTGATAGAATTATGGCAGAGAATTACAATTTTCTTATTGTTCATTGATTCACCTCTATGGATTTTTAACAGTAATATTATCACCACTTTTGTTATCTATCATTTCTATCATCAACACAGCTAGGTTAAGGTGCTCTTACTACTTTCTCAAATCAGGTTAAGCTTTGAAAGTACATTTTGTTTTGAAATTTAGAATGCTCTCAAATGTAAACAACCGTACCAACTAGCTTTTTTTCTCACCTGCGCTTAAGCTTTTGTGTAACCAGCCGTTCGGCGCTAGAACAATATTCTTATTTGTCTAAACTGGACAGCACTCAGTGCCTAGAAAAATAAAAACGATAGTGAATAAATCATAATCCGAAAAAAACAAAAAAAATAAACTGCAGAAATTTTAAGATTGAATTTAGATTTCAAAAAAGAAAAAATTTTACAAAAGTAAGATTTTCAAAAAATATTAATAAATAAGCGAGAAGAAAAATTTACAAATAGTTACGGCAACGATGAAAATAGGCAATAACTTTTAGTAGAGTTAAATTTAATTTAGATTTATTCTGCTTTTTTTGTAAAATTTTCGTTTCACTCTTTTTGTTTTTTTAACTGCATCTTTATTTTTTAAAATTATTGCATCCGATAAATTTTATG